TGAAGTTCAGAGTGCCAAACGTTCGGTGTCCGGAAACTGCGTGGATCACCGTCTATAATGAGAGCATAATTGAATGACAACCGCATAAGATAACCGGATCCCAAAGGTCGCCTTACTCAAAGTCACTCACAAAGTCGATTGACTTTGCAGAAACTAGGTCCAAATGCGAAGGAGCATGACCATCCATGTACGTGGTGGGTCGATCGACAAATTGCTTGTGGTAAGGATACTTCCAGTGTCAAATTACCAAGCTCGGCAGCCAACCCTTTTGTTGCTGCCTCATAAGATAGGCCATGTCAATTTATTTCAGGGTCGTTGAAATCCCCCTTCTCAAGCATCTGTTCTCAGCGTGGGTGATGATGAAAGAAATGAAGACCCTAGTAGCGCTATTAAGGCTCCTATACAGCGGCACAAATTTAAATTGTGTAGCTTCAGTACAGGGTTCAACTGCAAGAGATGCAACAGTTTTAGTAGCTGAGCTAAACATGTGTCATTTTGATATGTTTACACCACAGCTGATGTACAAGGCGACTGCACCTCCGCGACAATGAGATGGGCAGTATAGTCTCAGTATTGCGTAGCGCGGAACGTATACTTCACTGCCCATAACGTCAGAAGACAACAAAGTACCAGTGAATGCAAGTACATCAGGATGGGTTATTTAGTGGGGCCTCAGCTTTACATGACTTGTTTCACAGGCTATGTACACTACTGAGCGCTATGTGAAAACCACTGATATGGTGAGCCATGGGTCGTTTGTTACCCCAATGGTCTCTGCTAGGGCGGAGTTGGACTGTCGGCTCACCACCCAAAAACCTACCAAACATAAACCATGCTCGCTAGCTTCACGGTGCGCTTCAAGGTCTTTGCTGGCTTTTTTAAGCTTCATCCTATCAGCTAATGTTACGTCCGGCTGTATACACACACCGGAACCCTTCAGTTTAAGGGCGAAGCGCAAAAGAGCCTTGGGCTCCTTTGGCGTAAACAGAACCAGGTGCAATAGACGAGGTATAACTTTATTACTGCTACCCGATACGTTTTTAGACCTAATAAGGTTTCTAATATTAACCCCAGGAAACCAGGTAGAAAAAGTTAGAAACGCAGAGGTTGAAACAGTGAACATCGTCAAGCCCGCGATCTTTCGGACGAGCCGCAGATGACTACGCGATAGTCCTTCGGCTAACGCGACTGTCCGTGAATTCATCACCACGACGAGAAGTGTTTAAAGCACGCGTCTCTGTAGCAGTGCCCGACGCAGCGCCTGGGTTCATATCCTCCGTATTAGGAACAGCAGGTTCACAGGGCAAGGATTCCGAAAATGAGGTCCAAGAGTTTTCCGCTTCCGTTTCCGGGGACACAGTAGCAACAAAGCCTAAAGCACTATCTTTGAGCTTGAGTTTGGTTGTAGCAGTGGATGGAAATATATTGTGTCGCTTCACCTTCGCAAATAAACTAGCTCGTAAATCTGACACTCAAATGTGTTTAACATAATGGCGGGAAGTTTCCCATTTTCAGCCATCGCCTCAAGAGTTAAGTCATGCTTTGAAACCGTACTATTTATACACTTGGCTGAGGGCATGCTTCTTCTTACGACTATTTAACCAATCATCCCCTCTAAATACCCAAACAAAGATAAAAAAGTGTCCACGCTACTCACCAGTTTTAACTTTGTCCTTTAGGGCTAGAAAATATGCTTTACGTCTCACGTAACCAGGACAATTATAAGGTCAATCATCACTGTTGGGTAGGAGGATATACTGCTGTCTATCTAACCCAGTGAAAGCCTCATAGAACCAACAGCAGCAAAGGTCACATTGCACGCCGCCCGAAGAGTCAGTAAATGGTTCTGAGCAACACGCTTTACCAACCATAGCAGACGAATCAGTTTATGGGTCCAAAAGGAACCAGGAACTGGCTATCTTTACCATAACAAAAAAGGTTAGTTTTAACTGACAATGAGATCCTGAACTAGGGTACTTTAAGTTACAATGCCGTCAACGTGAGCAGCAAGCAGATAAAACCCGAAGTAATTTTTTAGCGCAGAGTTGGACTCACCAGACGAATAAAACTAGCAGTAAAGACAATAACAGGCTTTTCTGTAGAATATCATCCAAAGATGTTCTCCTTTGGGGCTAGGCGGGACGGCAGGAAGGAATGGGTTATCGGCTTTGCGCTGTCGAATATGAACCCGAGATGTGCTCGAGAGATGAGGTATCAACAAAAACTCGGAATCGTTTGCGATGTAGCCTTCAAACAGAGGCCAAGCAACAGTTGAATGAGAAACTCACAAACAGTGGGCAAAACAATTCAAAATCTTCAAACACTGGTATATTGGGCATACCAAGCCCGTTCCAACTACAAGAAACTGACAAAGTCAAACTTTCTGATCAGCGTTATTCAACGCTTTTTTCACAAAAGGCTTCTGAGGTGGAACTCTCAAGCGGTGAAACACGGCAACCATGCCGTGACAAAGGAAGACACACAAGAGATTCAGAGTATGTTGGCACTTCCAAGTCCTAGGTGGATTACACGGAATCTGACAAACGCCTGTAAAACGCAACTCCGTTCCCCAACTCCTCAATTCCCCATCCTCGTACACGAAACTGCAAGTTGCCCACGTTAACCAAAAGCTGACGTCCCCATATAGCGCTGCACCTTCGCAGTCACCGTGCATTCATCAACCAGTCTATCCCCCTTTGCGTTGGTCCATCTATCCATGCTCTGTCTATCGTAGGAACCTTATTAACCCCCACCTACAGCTTACCACAATCAAACCAACCCTGCACAGGAGCCGACAATAATCTACTGCATGGCCTACATACCTACGACGAGGACATTGCTCTTACGACAGCAACCTCCTTAAGTAGCTGTCTGAAGATTTCGGTGCATAGGGATAAGCCGTTTTACCCGTTGTCTTACCATACCCTACCTTGCCTGCGCACAACAGATCACCAGTGGAAGACCTTTGGGCTCATAATAACATATATGTCCAGGCACCTACGTGCATCTCCCCAGACCACTGGGAAACGCGATCGCTCCGCAAACGGACAGTCACAAATCGAAACCGACAAAGCATTCATCCCATATAAAAAGAGTGCCAATAGATCTCCGTAAAAGGCCTCCACAGTACTCTAAGACGCATTATTTCCATATCCTTGTTCACATTCACAAAAACATAAACAACCGGGAACACTCACAGGTGATGCTTAAGCCAGCTAAGGAGCGCGTTGCCCGCAAGACCAACAAAAAAAATCGTGTCCCTCTCTCAGCTACTGAAATATGGAAACAATCTTACAGCAAACTCCATCACGCCGAGACGTTTCGAGTACTCTGTAGTTAGTGATCCAAGGGAAATATCTATGTCTCTCAATAGCCACCTCTGCGGTTCCTTCACTGACATCAACGTGGTCTTACCAACTGCTGTGCCCGAACTTACCCGAGATTCCCTAGACGTAAGTACCTGCGAACTACGTTCTGTAACCCGAATACTTCGAGTACTCAAACTGACACTACACTCTGGCACTGATGGTCTCCCATCGGCACCGCTGTAACTCAGCGCCCAAGCTATCATGTTCTACTGCTCAACTTATTTACACACCCAATGGGATACGACAAATATCAAACCACGTGGAAGCATTCTATATTTATTCGCAGACATAAACAACGACGCCGTCAAAACATAGAAAACTACCGCTAAAGCAGCCAAACGCCAATTGCTACGAGGGTGATGGAAAACAGATAAGGAAAACTTGCTGCACTTGCTACTTAGTAACAAGCTAATCAACAGACAACAACATTTACTTTTACCGTCCAAATTTCCTTACACCTACCACTTGCGTTGCTTAACCATGGGACAGCGCGGACTGATGCTGAGCAAGATTTAGTCATCAATGCTTGACATGAGAAACGTTTTCGATGTAGTCAGGAGAAGCAAACATATGTGTTCATAGTTCGTCCCAAGCGTATACAATTAGATGCAACCCAAGTTGTGCAGACAGACAGTACAAGTCGTTACTACCAGAGCGACTCAATTGACTGCTCACAGTGCTGTCTGTTAAGCCACGACCACCGACCGCGTGTGACCTCGTGGGTCAGAGGTTACAAGCAGTTCGGGCCAGGGCAGTCCCAAGCCTTTAGCTAGCTTCTTCTGCGCACATAGCTCCGGTGCATACAACCGGATCGCAATTGCCTCAGCGGATTCTACTATTCGCTTGTGGACTTGGTTCGAGCGGGGCTTGGGGGCCTTATAGATAAGTTTGAAGGAATCAGTGAACTTTGTGGCGTACCTTGTATCGGCTAGGTACGCGGCTATTGCAGGGTTCGCTGTGCTACCACTTCCAGTTCTAAGCCCGACCGCGTGGTGTTCCTTCATTCTCTCAGATAGACGCCGTGCCGCATGACCAATGTATTCCGCTCCACAGTAGCATGAAAACGAGTAGGCACACATTGAGTTGGTGTAGACAGGCCGCTTATCCTTGAGTTGTAGTCTCACCATCGGAATGCTAGTGAATTGGCTTGCATCTGCGCAACTGGATAGGTGCGTCTGAGTGCAGACGAAAAAAGACGAGCCATAAGTTCCGTCACAACATCGCCGTTGTATGGCAGCTGTAGAAAGATTAGGTTAGGT